TCCTATTTCTTTGTCATTTCCTTTCCCATTGACTTATACTTTCTTTACCTTCCTTATCGACCTCATTTATCATGTCGTCCAGTTCTTTTTTCGAGGATTTTTCACCGATCGAATTCATGACTTCCTCCAGTTCATCCGTGCTGATCGTACCATCGCCATCTTTATCAAACATGTTAAACACATCCTTCATCTCTAAAGGAAACAAGATATAAACAACGAGATGACTCAATAAAAAGGAAAGATTGAAAAAGTATCCAGAGTTGGCAACTCTAGAGGACAATAAAAAGTCAAAATTGTCATCTTACGAGACGCGATCTTAAAAATTGATGTATAATCCCTTTGCATGTATGTTAAAAAATGTATTTGTGTATAGGAATAGACAATACAGCAGTTACAGACCGACCGAGTATCAAGTATTTCAACAAGTCTCTGAGTGGGAGGGGGTATTTAAAGGTACCCACCAATATAAATCAATAAAATTGGGTCCCTATTTTGGGCCTTTTTCGACCTTTCCCCTCCCATATTAAAGAGAAGGGAGGGGGGTACGGTGGGAAATAAATGGATTGACACGTATATGAATGGACAAGCATGGCAAACAGGGGTTAAAACGCAATGAATGCCTTACCCTTTACTTGCTCCTTTGACATTTCATTTTTCTGAAAGAAAGAATGAATACGTCACATTTGGTCACGCTCGTAGACCGAGCGTGACAAGCGTGACAAAATGTCGGATGACGCGCATGTGTACAATTAAACTCGCATAATAAAACGACAATGTTTAATCTCCTAATGAAGCAAGTTGATCAAATGGACCCTTTTCAAGATGATCTTGAATGCCAGGGTAACATGTAAATACAACAGTAATTACGCTTTTTCTCGATGGAATTTGCAGCATTTCTTTTGAATTTCCATGTTAGCCTCACATTCAAGATAATTTTGAGAAGGGTCCATTGCAGCTTGAATAAAGAATACAATCATGTGACGGCAGCCATATTGGATGGCAGTAACAACGCCACCATTTTGCACAACAATTAACTTTCTTTTTTATTGCCATGCCATCCAACATGGCTTCCAACAAATCCCTAATACTCCAGGACATGGAATTTGTATCAAAAGTTTTGAAATTTTTTTGAAAAAAATTTTTAAAATTCATATTCAAATGATTTCAAGATGTCGCCATCATACAACCAAATTTGGATCGTTGTCTGCTTGTATACAAACTAACCGGGGTCATGCAATGGCATCAAATTCTTCAATGACGTCACGGGATCCCGAAGTAAACTACCATCGGCAAGTGACCTTATAAAGCCATCCCTAAAATAATTTTATCAGCCAAGCCCTATCAATAAAATCTAAACTGAAGCCTACGCCATTTTTCCCGAAAAAAATCCTGGCACTTTAGAAAATAAGTAATTCGTCTGTTATTTTTGGTAGTTCAGTGTATAAAATAAATGTGGATTTTTCAAGACAAATAGCTATCTTGACATAGATTTTTTGACACTCATGCCCATGAATTGCTTTTAGCAATAGTGAAAGCAATTTAAATAATACTATAATCTAAAGCTTGGCAGTTAGTTGACAGCAATGGCTTGAATTTCTTCTTAGAGTTCGCGAAATTAGACACAAGATGCAGCGGATTCAATGCGTAAAAGTTCAAGGAATCCATGTTTTCATTCAACAGCTTGGTTTATGTATTTCAAGGCCATTAATAATAGGGTTAAACAATGAACGTTGCAATAAAAGCTTAATATTTTTACAGTCCAATGTTTTGTTTTTTAAAGAAGTAAGGTTTAAAGAAATGCAAAGTTTTTATACTCGCTAGAAACAGTTGTAAAGTTATGTGCTAGAACAACTAGTTGTACAGTGTTCAATGAATTTGACACAATGGGTTTCGCTGTCTTAGTCTGCCACGCTCCAAAAAATGCACAAATAAACTCTTAACATTAAGAATAATACATAATTAGAAGACAATAAATCAAATATACTTACCCAACCCATGGCTGCGGATTCTGAGAGCTTTACGAAAGTAGAAAGTGGAAAGCTGTAGGGTTCTACTCCTGGAGACTCAGTGATGGCATGCAAGACCTCGAAGAAGACACTCTCTCAAATTCCTATGAGGTGATTCCATACATTTTTGAGGACCGGTTACTCCTTGGTGAAGAAATTTCCAAGGAGGGGAGGGGTACGTAGCCTTCAAAACATTATTATTTTTCTTGTTTTCTTGTTTAGGTTTTTCAGATTTATCAAATTCAAAGTTATGAAAAATGTCAAGAAATGGTTAAGAAGAAAACTGTGGCACTGGGATTTTGGGTTTATCGGGGAAATATGGACGACAAATATCTCTACCGCGTTCTCCCCGAAGCGGAAGACTTTCGACGCAGAAATATAAACATGACACTCTTGAGTAACAATAACATTAGGATTAATTGACCAGACGTTTTCCAATCTGTTCGCCAAGAACGCTGTCTATTCAAAAGCATATGCCAAAAGGTTTTGAATAAATCGTTTAGGGAGAATCTAGACTTCATGTGCAGATATTTTTGGCTCGATTTTTTATCTCGGCTTTATACAGAATGCAATGATGCTTGTCATGACTAGCGTGACGGATAAGATAGGTCACATATATTGATTTGAATGGATTTGCGAGGATTATTTTTCCCCAAAGCTGCTCTCTGCAGCAAATGAATACAGCATCATGGCATTGCAATAGTTATTTTCTTTGACTGCAAAAAGATGCTTCTGCATAAGGTATGTTAAAATATGCTATTCTCCTCTTCGACGATTAAAGTAACGATGACAATTCTAACGAGTGCCATCACTGGCTTACGGTGTCTGCTCATATTTGTTCATCATAAGCGTACTTGAATTGTCAAGCATCATTTTCCAAGCCAGTCCCCATTTATTTTAACAAGGCTTTTGTTTCGTATATTTTTATGCCAATGTATCCTCAATGACAAAAGAAAGTTACAACACTAAAGGGGAAAGACATGTGCTCTCGAATCATACGATGACTTGCATTGCACATCTGATCAAAGAAAAACAAGGTCTCGTAAAAATCTCTGGACAAYACTTTTAATAAATACTTACAAAAAAAATCTTCAACAAAATTGCATCAGTGACAGTAGTTTCAAAAAACTTTACAAAATTTAATGCTTTTCATTGAATTTTTCGAGGGATCTGCTGCAGGGGAAAAAAGTTTGCTAGTTTTATAAAAGCTCTTACAAAAGCAAAAATTATATTCTTTATAAATATAAAGAATAGATTTATCAGAGAAAAAGAAAAAAAGAAAAAAAGGAGAAGAAGAAGAAAAAGAATAGAGCAAAGTCAAGCAAACAGAGACCAATACGACCAGTAATTGTTTGGCTGCTTGACCTGCGTGTAAAAAACTCCCCTCCCAGTCCAAAGGCTTCTTTTAAGGTTTCTCGTGCCAATTCTATTGCATCTTCTTCACAAATTCTGTAGAGGACAAACAACCAAATAATGAGATTAAATAACTTGCTTATTTTCTTGCGGTAAAAACAACAAAATGAATGGGAATGGGAAAAATATATTTAAAGAAATGGGATTGGCATCCCCCCTTTAAGACCCTCATATGATGCTGTCAATGGCACAACTGAAAATGCCAGATGATACCATTATGGCGATGATATTTTTGTTGTTTTGTAGTCTTCGTTTCTGTTTTTGTAAGACGTTTGTATGATCATGATGGCATCATTTGACTCCCACTACCATAATGCTCCACAAATTTCCTTTCTTCTTAATTATTTGTATTCCCTCATAAGGATAGTAAGACAATTGGTTCTAATTAACTGAACAAAAGAAAGTGTGCAAGGGAATTCGGTAGTAGAGGTCAATGATGCCATCATGCAAAAGTTCCATTATGTTGCTGTTGATTCCRAGGTTGCCAATTCTGTTGTTGTTATAATGCTGCAGTCAGTGCAGGCTGTAATGACCAAGATATATAGTGGCAAAAAAAAAAAAACCAGAATCCTAATATTGGTTGCTAAAGTATACAAATGATACAAACTTTTACCTTCAAATTTAAATTCTCCTCGTTTCTGTGGGTCCAGGACTTTAATAAAATTTTCAATGTCATTGTTGGTGAGTCTTACTCCAGGAAGCTTTTTGAGGAGGCCTCTGAATTCATCACATTTCATAACTCCTCTACCACTCTGGTCCCAGGAATTGAATGCATCAAGAACAGAGCCTTCCTCTTGTTCTTGGGCCATCTTCTTGATCATCATCTCACAAAACTCATCAAAGTCAATCTCACCACTGCCTGGAATTTTCATAATACAAATTATACTGAATTATGAACTTTGCCATTTAGATTGGTTAAATATCTTAACCCATTGTGCAGTTTGAGAAACAATAGAAAATAAACTCTGGAGTTTGTGCAACATGCCTCTGATGCAATTTTATATGCTATAAAATGTAGTTAATCCTTAAAATTCCTGGAATTAACTTGGCTTAACTTGTATCCTGAAACTATTTGTACACAACATTTTTTAAACAATTTTTATTCACACTTTCAACAGACTTGTCTGTGATTATGCCAAATAAAGGCTTTGACTATTACATGATGGCAGCCAGTGACAGGAAGCACAACAATAGAGCCTTTTCTCCTGGGAAACCTGAAATTTTTCTCAGATTCAATTGTTCCTGCCTCCTGTCATGGCCATCACGTGATGGTGCAAAGCTTTTATAATCTGAATTTCCAAAACACTTTAAAAAAAATTAAAATATATATTAATAAAGGATTTTTAGAGGATCGAAGCCATGAATGGAATTTAGAAATAATACTTACCATCTTCATCAACCTCACTGACCATATCTTGAAGTTCTTTCTTGTCAACTTTCTCTCCGAGGTTTCTCATGACGAGTTCCAACTCATCAACTGTGATGGTGCCACTACCATCAACGTCAAACAATGAAAAGGCATCTTTGAATTCTGAAACCCAGGAAATGGACATCAAAACAATATATATTAATTAAGTAAAAAAGTTTATATGTTTTGTAATCAACAAAGGAAATTTAGTTTTTCATGAAAACATGAAAATTTGAAAAAAAAAAAGATTTTACTCCATGTAAGCTTATTTATAGAGACTGCATATACTTTGGTGGCTTAGGGCTTAGGGTGGGGGTTCATTCATGTTTAATTCATGCTGATGATGGGAAGCACGGGTGGTTCAATGCAATCCGAGTTCAAGTTCTGCCGGGCTCGGTGTTGTATATGAGTAGAGTTGTTTGTTGGTTCTCTCCTGTGCTTCGAGGGTTTTCTGGGTTCTCCAGTTTTCCTCCCTCCACAAAAATCAACTCCTAAATTCCAATTCAATCATGGAATGAGGGCCACAGGTTTGCTAGCCATTGGCTATTAAGTGCTACCCTCGTGAAAAAAGGACAGTTTTTCTTATTTTTTTTATGGGAGTTATTGTGGATCTGGTGGTAATGTTCATGGCATTTACATATTCTTGCCTCCCTTCCTTAACCGTGGGACCTTTATTTACTTTTTTAAAGTAACTATTATTAGTTTTTAATAATTTACATTTTCCTTAGCCATATATATGTAAATATATCTTTTTTTTTCTAAACGTTTTAAATGAAATTGAAAAATCATATTAAAAATTATTTTGCTAAATTAGTAAGATTTATTGAGAACCTTACCTTGCCTTTGGGAATCTGTTAGAGTAAATTGTCCAACCTAAAAAAGCATTCATCAAGAAAGATTTTAGTACAGGACATGAAAAAAACAAAAGATATATCTTTAGCCTGTGATGTATTATGAAATGTAACATCATATATCTTATTAGGATTTGTATGAGAAAACATGATGGATGGAAGAGCTTTCTATATTCATGTGATGCATTGAACCCCATGCATGCATATACACCTAATTGAAAAAACGTAGTCGGGTTCGAGAAGGTCATTTCATCGAACCTAAGACCAAAAAGGATTTTGTGTACGCCGAAATGTGTATTATATTTGCATATAGACATGTAAAAATGCACAGTAGAGCAAAGTGGGTCGACCTAGATTAACAACATGCCAAAGCCATGATGCATAAAATGTGCACATGAAGGGAAAACTGCAATACACATGAAATTAGCATAATTATTTATCTTCCCATGCTCCCCTTTGGTCTTAGCTTTGATGATATAACCTTTTTTGAACCCGACAACGTTTTTTTAACTTTGTATTTGTCATTATTTCTTTGGTGTCATAAATGATATCATAAACTCAAACTTTGCCTTATTCATAATTCGTATAGCTGCCTTTTTCATTCCTTGGGTTAACTATGACATAACTTATGACCATTACTATATACTCCTTCACTTATAAGATCTTTGACCATGTATGCAGAAGCATAATTTCTAGTCTTCTTATTTCTAAATATTATCTTTTAAATTAAGCAAATAGAGCCAGTTGGGATGGGATTTTAGTTGAGTTGAGTTGAGTTGGAGTTTAGACTCCGCGTTCCGATTTCCACCCATTCCATTCCTTGATTTCAAGCTTCTCAAAGAAGCAAAAGGTCAACGAGGTGGTAACTTTGAATAATTACTGTACAGCGACGAAACGATTATCGTGTTATAACTCAGCAATATGAAAACGATATCTTGATACATCCAGCTAAACATATATCCGAGTTAACAGTCATGTTCAGTAAAATATTTGGAACCGAAAATTGCTCATATTCTTTTTAAAAAACAAAAGAATAACAGAAGTTTAATGAATAACAACGAATAAACAAATCCTAAGAACAATATGTGAATTCTTCGCAGCTTTGAATTTTTAAAAATGGCTTTCTTACTTAGTTATTTCTTAAAAAGCCCTAAGAAATGTGCCAAGTGTTAAGGTTAAACGGAGTTTCCAGCGGGAAATTACAACCTTTTGTACTCCGTAAGAATGTATAGGAAAATCAGTTTAAATGTACGAATCAAAATGATAATTATAATGAAATTGTAAACTATGTTCCCATGGCTAATTGACATTATAAATTCATTTAGAATTCTGCTTGGATTAACACTGAAAAATAAGCTTTAATTTCCTTGAGAATTTATGTATGAAATCACTGGATATGTGTTAGATTACAAATAGATCCGAACAGCATTTGATAATGAAACATTTATTTGGGCATTGGCTTCCGACAACACAAATGGCAAACATTAGGTAGCTTCTGTTTATCTTCTGTGTTCGAGAAAAGCGTTTGATTTGAGCCAAAAATTTTAAGTCCTCAGTAAACAGCAAGAAATAAAGATTCGTTATGAAAACGAACTGAAAATGACTTACCATTTTGAAAACTAGAGGTATGAAGTAAGGCCAGAAAAGAAGAGAGTTTAAACACACAGTATCCTTCCTCCCTGTAGTTGGAAAGTATGTACACTTTGAGTTACGTATTCAAAAGCCAACACTTCTGATTGGCTGATGAATATCTACGTATACACCTCCCTTACAATTCAACATACAACCACTTTTTAGCAAATTCCTAAAATAAGCTGTTCGTGTTTTAAGGGGTAGGAAAACTCTCTTGACTCTCTAAAAAGTGTAAAACGAGACTGTAATGGAGCTTGGGTATTGTTCATTAGTCTTATTTTAAAAATATAATATTAATTTTTGTAAAACCAAAACAGAAAAACCTGTCATGTGAGTTCGGGAGAGCCAAAATCTCGTGGCTAAAAGGTCAAAAACTTTTTTAAGATAAAGTATTTTTTCTATTCGAAATTACTTACCTAAACTGAATACGACTACAAAATCCTTGAGGAATGTTTTCCATCGAGAGTCCAATAATTCATCAGCCAGAAACAATGGTTCGAATACAATTCACATGTAATAGGATTACAAACTTTGAATAACACGTCGATACGAGGACCATTTCGTCGCTATACAAGATTCTTRAAAATGGCCCCATGACCAGTGTACGTATGCTAATAATGGCTCGCGTGCCAGACTAAATGGGACTCTTTATGAAGTTGTTGGAGTTTGGCCAAAAGCTTCGGAACACTTCATAAATCCATGGTTCACTTTTCTGAATTGCTTTTATAACTCCTATCCCGCGTCGCCCCCAATCACATCATCGCGACCAGCACCAGCACCAGCACCAGCACCACCACCCAACACTACCATCACCCAACACTACCACTACGCGGCACTATAAATACCACCATGCACTACCACAACAAACATAATTAAATTCCATTCGATTTTTTCTCTTCAAAACCATTACATCAAGAAAAAGCATGAAAAATTGATTAACATTTCACTAGGACGTCATGGCTGAGACAGGACCGTTTCCAAAAACTTCCAGACTTCTAGACGATTACAGTCGGCTCTTGTTTCTCTTTTTRCGTCTATATGGGGCACTTGAATGCCATTCCAGAAAAAATTCTAATAATATATAAAGTGAATGCTTTGAACCCCAGGATCGTTTTGAAATGAGTGTGTTGAGTGCTACCGTCCGGGTGAATTGTGCTGAGTCTTTAGAAAGACAGTTAATGAATGAATTACTGGAATACGATGGAGTGTCCTTTATGTTCCTTGTACCTCTTAGGCTTGGGCGTACTGTTTTCCCATAACAAACCACGTGTCATTTCCTCGAGTATTATTTCTTTGTTTAACGGTTGCACATGAGAAGACGAGGATACAACTCATGCAAACAAAGAATCTTATTCTCAAGAGAATGACATGTGGTCTGAAATAGGAAAGATTAGGCCGAAGCCGCTATCAAAAGAGGTCTTCGGTGCTAATTAAGACCCCCAGTAGGAGATTTCCAAAATATAATAAAAATAATATAATATATCTATATAGTAGTTCAATGGCGCTGTAGACAAAATAGGACAACTAAAAACCAGCTAAGACGGACGTAAGAGGATCATTGCTATTAGGTAGGGCGACAYTGATGTTAGAAAAAACAAAAGTTTTTACCAGTAAATAACGTGCCCCGGATCACCGTTAAACGCGCATGCACACTACTTAGAGTTTTCTTGTCCTTTCTAAATCATCGATGTATTAAAGAGATTAACCCCTTGCTATGAACTAGCTATGACCAACAAATCTGATATTTCACTTAGATTACTGATATTAGCCATTCCGATGAGGTTTATGAGGAAAAAACTGGGTGGCGAAGATGGTATTACAGTGCATTTTGGTGCTGTTTTAGGGGACAAAATCAGGCTCGGTGATTTATGGTGAAATATTACTTGCCGCTAGAAAACTCAGTAAATATTCCCCGATATTCACTTCGCTTTCGGTTAAATAATAATTGTAAAATATCAACGACATGAAATATTTTACTCCTTCGTATTACGATAACTTAGGACATTATCTTGAACCATGGAGGTGTGTCCCTCACACCTTCCTGCTTTAACTCGAATAAAAAAAATAAAAAATAAAAACTAAAGTCGTTTTTTCCCCTCTGATTTCACTTTTATCAAAATTGGGCTCCCTGTGATGGGCAATCTCCAAACTTTACAGTTTGACAAAAACATTGCTTGGGCTGCCTGTGAGGTTCACATTCGCTACCAGAGCAGCACAAAACTGCCACATTGAAGTGCCGGAAAATATCCATTCAGAATGGTGAGTAATTAAGAAGTTTAAACAAAGCTGAATGAAGAGTAATCGAAAAAACTTCAGGTTCTAGTCTGTGAAGGTTAAAATAGCGGAGAATAGTTAAAAACTTTAAAACAAGGAGTTCTCGCGAAAGGCTTCCAAAGCAAGTTTACAAACCGTTTCTCTCTGAATGAAAAGTTTTAAATTGCTAGGGAAATATAGTTTGTTTTCAATTAAAAACAAAATGCTGAATTGAAGCTAGTAGAAAAAGCGCTGTATTTTATTGTAGGATGCTCAAAGTACGGAGAAATAGTAGCAAAACCACCTCATGGTCTAAATTATCGAACTCCACGCAGTTTGATTATGTTGAGTTTGGTTGTCGACACACCAAAATAAGATTACTAAGCTTAATTCCAAACGTTTTGAAAAGTTTTTGACCAACCTCTCAAATATACCGAGTGTAAATTTTGAAGATAAAGAAGACGAGAAATAAAGAGAAAGAGGAATATTAGCTTTTAGTTTAAGATGAAAAATGAACTGAACTTACCAATCCGACCGCGCACCTTTGCAGGAATCAATGAGGAAAGACGTCGTGCGTAACTCATTTATATACCAAATTCAGCTGTCAATCAAACCTTTCGACCAATGAGGATTGAGAAATGTGACATGGTTGCTTTTTTAAAGTAGTTGTTTTTGGGCTCACAACTTTCTCAAAAATATTTAAAATATCAAAAATATTAAAAGTGCAATGGTTGTCTTCGATTGCTTTTTTTAGCTCAAAAGATTTTCAAAAATATCAGTTAAAGTAATTTGTGCCTAGGGAAAGGTTGATTAATATGCCAAGGGGGCGGGGGCATGAGGGTTTCTCCCCAAAAACCTTATTTTTTAAAACTTAATCTTCGAAGAACCCCAAACAACACATGAACATTTGCAAATTCAAATTGAGAGCACCCCCTTGTGAGCATGAAAATTTTTTAGAGCTCCCCCCCCCTAAGGTCCCAAACACTCGGTAGCCCCCCCAAATTTTTTTATTTCCCACCCCCTCCCCCCCAACATATTAAATGAACTTTCCCCTATGCCTGCCTGTCTGCCCACTTGCCTGCCTTTTCACTTCCAATGAACTTGCGTGCATAGAACAGAAAAAGAATCAACCTAATTTAACCTTACCAAAACCCTTTATTAAGTCAAATACTGTAAACACAAGACAAAAACAGACACAATTAAATACTAAAAAATAACCATTACTAACATCATCAGTTTATACAATTATTCCTATACAAAAAGATTAGTAGCTTACGTGTTAGTGGTCGCGTAGTACCTAACTCAGTATTACGCAGTATATCTGGACAAATATCTTTAGGAATTAATACCCAATGCATCTTCATAAACTTCGCCGTCTTCACTGGACACACTTTCGACAGTAGTTGTTTTATCTTCCGACAAAACGACGACAAATCGATTGATGACTATCTCAAAGCAGCAAAAAACAGAATGGAGCCGAAAAAATATGCACAGGGGGAATGCAACATGCGACAGAATCAACCATGTTTTTTTGGTGTAGGCAAGTATTTCTGGGACCTCAGCTATACTAATATTTTTTAACTGGAACGTATCCATKACCCACATACCAATATTAGCGATACTTAAAAAAGCCGAACACCTACGCACAACCAGTGCCGAGGAGATTTTACCTTTTGAAGGCCAGACTAGGGAACACCTTCTCAAAGCTCTGACAATGAAAAATGCCTGTAGGGTGAACTGGATAAGTGCGCAAACATAATCTGCGAGGGATACCCGGAGGAACTTACAGCTCAGTTGAGTGGCAGGATAAGTTTCATTGTCGGTACACGGCGATGGATAGACACTGCCGGTTGCAGTGATATGGAAACCTACCATTAAGTAACAGCCGCTGACCCCAATCATAATCAGCGCAGTGTCGACGATGGTGTGAGAGGTCTGGGCTCCTGGTTCGTGCTCCCTGAGGTATTTCAATCCAAACAGGCAGATAAATGACATCAGTGAATGAATTGCGATTTTTGAGCCTTGAAAAACATAGACTGCGTCTTTTTGGTCGACTTTGAATACAACTGCCAACACTGTCACGATTACCAAGATGAAAATCAGCACGACGACTCCGAATATATAACCACAGATTGCAGATCGCCAAAATGAAACAGGTTTTTCTTCCCCTTGCGGTATGCCTTCCTTGCAGCATTTGTCGAATAAGAAAATTTTGATTTGCTGCCATCGTGTGTTTTGCAGATGAGACTCGTTTGTGCTTTGTGTGGTTTCTGCTGATGGGTGGACGCTCTGCTGATGTTCACGAGGCTTGAGGCGAAACCACAGGAGAAAAAGAAGAACCGATGACATCACCGAATATTCAATGCTAAAAGGATACAAATAGCCATCTATTGCTTTTCTAATGCCCTCAATGGCCTTGAATGGAGGACATCTGTCAGTTGGGTACTTTGGTGGCTTCGATGTGTGGTCTACAGACTCGTCAACTATTATATAAAACCAAGTGCATAGGTTGACAGCAATGATGTGCATTAGGAATATCTTCATGMTGCAGGAATCAAAGAAGGTCTTGCTGGAGAAACGACAAAAGAAGTAAAGTTGAAGGATCAAGAATATGAATTTCGTAAAAGAAAAGATGGCTTCACTCTTTAGCTCGCTTTCCACATCTCCTTTACTCGTGATGTTGGTGAAGTTACAAGTCATGCTGAATACAAACGGCAGGAATTCCACAGCAGTAATGAAGGAACTTCCAATGCAGAGAAATGTTACCCCAATGATCAGATATCCAGGAATGTGGTCGTCATGTTGTCTCTCAGCTAAGCAACAACCAGACTTGTTTCCACAACAAAATGCTCCAATTATCCAAACAATGGAGATCCCCATGTAGACGATGAGAAAGACATACAGATTTGATTTGGTGATGTGCTTTACCTCATCTATTTCAGCTGCGATTGAGAGCGAAATTCCAATTGCAAGGGTAAAAATAAAATGGACGAGACTCAGAGTGGATATTTCGTTTTTGTAAAAAGGAGAAAAGAGGAGACTTCCAAAGAATGATGCCTGGCAGCGTTCACAGCATGATGGTTCTGGAGATACATGGTTGGGAATTGAAGGGCCAGAAGAGCCTAATTATAAAACATATAGCAATCAATAAATAATAGTGAGGTAGAGTTCTTGCCGTACAAAGTTACGTGTCAATGTGCCTCTTAATCATCAAATTTTTCATTAATGTTCACAACCAACACCAACACCATGCCATCATCACCATCATCATCGTGTCATAACAACCAACACCAACACCATACCATCATCACCATCATCATCGTGTCATAATAACCAACACCAACAACATGCCATCATCACCATCATCATCGTGTCATAACAACCAACACCAACATTATTATTATCATTATCATTATCATCATCATCATCATCTCATTATCATCATCTCATTATCATTATCATTATATTATCATTATCATTATCATCATCATCTCA